ATATATATATATTACAATGGCTGGATAGCCGTCTAGTGGAGAGTGTAGAATGACCAAATACGCCCTATGCACGTCTCCTTGGACGTTGTCGCGATGTGCACAAAACAACTGCTGAGCCTGACGAACATTGCAACAACTTGAAGAAAATACGAACTAGTGTGGTACAAAATATGAAAATCTGCGACGATGCAAATACAGTGCAGTGACCTATGTGTGGAGTGAATGATTACAAGTGAAAATCGGTCTTCCGTAGACCATGAAGTTTTCAAGTCTGAAAACGGCCTCTTACGTGGTATCGATGCACGCATGAGCATAAAAGGCTCAAGAGGATAATATTCCTTCACCAGATCAGTAGTAGTAGGCTGAAGTATTTCCACAGACTTGTCCTGTCATTTAATTTAACCTTCAGTTTGACTGTTAACAAAAACTGCCTAAGTAGTACCGTAGGGGAAATTTGAGGTGAAACTGTTAATAGTTGAATCAAATGAAGCTAACAGCTGGAACTCAGTTAAATCTTTCCTTAACACCAACTTAGTTTGCAAATAAATGTACTTCGCCCCTAACAGAAACTGAGGCGAAATTCGTTTTTTTTTAAAATCTGACTGATAGATTGATGCAGAGGACATGCGAAAACTACTGAATGGGGAAAGTTATACTCCCGGCGCAAATCTATCAGAACTGATATCACATCCACTCATATTCATAACCCGTACACCTAATTCCGCCTGAAATTTTGAGGGAATTGGTGAATCGTCGGTGGAACAACAGATCACATAGATGCCCTTCAATACGTAAGACTGCTCAGTGAGGTTTGATAGCGAAAGCGCTTTATACAGTGTACTTACTCATCAACGGTGGTTGTGGTCGGCTAAAACGAGAAGGAAAAACAAGGTTTACTAACTAAACGGAGAATTTGAATGCCGTGAGCGACAGGCACATTGGTGATCAGCGGAATGTGCAATGAAACCAATATAGAACACTGACTTCTTCCGGGACCACACAGTTGGGGGTGGAAATCGATCGATTGTAACTCAGCTAAAGCTGTCGTCGTTCAAACAATGTTGTGCATAGAATGCAGTAGGAATGAGCTGGGTTCTAGGGACAGTTTGCTTTGAGAACGCCGAATCGAGTAGTGTAGAGTCGCTGAAACTGGATAACAACTGACAGCAAGAACACAGGCGACGTCCGTCCACAGACTCAAAGTAGGAACTGAGAAACTCAGAATCGGTCTGGTGATTTACTAATAGAGCGAGAACTTCCGAATTGTGGATAATCGGATATTTTCTCGAAACGGATCACAGTGCTAACGTTGACAGATCTTTTATTACTGCTGCGCGACAAATTCCTACAAACCTGGCCATTAAGATGGCACAACGTAACGAACTGCCTCAATCGATAATGTGCACACAGATTACCGTAAAAAGATCAACGCCAGTAGTTCAGTGACATTGTCCGGAACACGACAACAGACTGAACATACTCAAAAGGTTGGTCCAGCTGGGTCATGTAATTTGCTCTCGGGAGGACCGTCTTCATCAAGGAATCCTTTTATCCTGTTGTTCACTGGAAGAAACCGACCCAAAAGCTGTTGAGCAGAGGCCTGAGTGGTGCAGCACGATCGGTGAACTCAGTGGCATTAATAAATGCCGTCTCCTTGAATGTGGGACGAGTTGCCATGAGTGCAACCCGGCCAAATGGGGTCCGCTCTAGCCGACAGCATTGCTGAGTAGAAGCCATGGCAGCTACTGTCAAGCACCCAGATGAACAGAATGACCGATCAACTAGACTAAGTGCCGGAATATCAATATTTTGACCACACTAACACATTAGGATGCAGCGGCCCGCGAAATTCCAAATGCGGAAAAGTAGTGTCCGAAAATATCGGACACGAGTGATGAACAAATTCTGACGGTCAGTTGCCTGACGCAAGTTCAGACTATGTGGTATAGCGGCATACCTGAATGCGCGACGTTGCTTACTCCACGTGATCGAGATATACACCATATTGTACCTAACCTACCGCCAAAATTGTGTTAAAAGTGAAAAGGAAGCTTTGAAAAATTTCAGTAAAACTTGCAGATACCCAAAAGCGAGTAGGTTTGAAGGTAAGGAAATCTTACACATATTGGCTGCTTCTTCAATGCTTTCTTCAAAGAGGTTGCGGGTAGCAGTGAGTGAAGGCTATAAAAAGAAGTAATGCGAATTGTGGTAAATAGCAGAACAGGTACAGGGCAAGATTGCATTCATCAATTGGGACCGAAAAATAAATAAAAAAATGAACGGTAGCAAATTGAGAATTGTCTTAAGGAACAAGAGTCAAACTTTGGCGAAATTACGGAGTTATTGAAAAGGGTTTACTGCCTGCATGCTCAAATGTAATTTCACACGGAACATTGGTGGACCGCCGTAAGCCAACTAAAATTGCTTACTGGATCCATGTTTATGGTCGTATGAACACAGCACATGATAATGCCCCTTGGCTGTTATGCTGGATGTAGATTCACTAAGGATACCAGTCTAATGTCAGTGATGATCTCCAGAAACCGGAAATCGGAGACTCTGTCATAGGAAGTAGTCTGTTCTCGCCGTAAGACGGAAATACTTTCCACTAAACAACTCCGTGCGCTTTTGAAGAGTATTGATATGAGAATCAATGACTGTTCAAAGTGAACAGTTGGTCGAAGTCATCGCTCATATGATACAGGTGTGGTAAAATAAAACGAATTTGAGCTAAATGTGGAGAGTTGAGCATGGTAGGTTGAAGCCAGCTTACCCGCATTATGATACAGAATCCGGCTAGGCTATATTGCCCAAAGCTTGAACAGATGAACACTCCCCCACAAGTATGCACAGTTGACTGAGTTTATCATTCGTGTGAGAATTCTACTGATAGAGATGACGGTTGATTAGGAAGTCGTAAAACCAGTTTTGCTGGATGATGGCACGGTGCACAGGTAAGATCACTAAGTAATACTTTTGCCCATAGTGACGAATAATAAGGATTTATTGGATGCACGTTTCGAACACTGTCAACAAAGCGCCGTACGTCTGTGTAAGCCTTTACTGAGAAATACGTGATCTGCAACTGCACCGTTTCTTTGTGGCCACATGAACCAGCCCTGAAGTAAAAGGAAATTAGTAGAGCGCACTAAATCGCACGCGGGTGTGTTACCAAGAAATTTAGAGCTCCTTCATAGATTAGCATATAATGCGCTGTGCAATCTCTGTGAGTTTACCGATCCACATGTCAGATACCAAAAGCATCTCCTGAGGTTTGCATCTGAGTACAATGCACATAGTCTCACTTGGCACCCCAGAAAGTTTTTTATGGGTCCTCTAGGAAAGTGTTCCGATTACTTTACCTGTGTATCATTATGATGAGCGAACAACGGATGTAATGACGATCGAATATAGATAGATCGACTTCGGTTATTGAATGCAAAAAACGACCGGGGCAAAGAAGAATCACTCACAGCTGTGTGCGTACAGCTGTATCTTCGACTGACCGACCAATTGATTTGATATTGAGGCGGACCGTTGTCCCACTGAGTTTGGCGTTCCTAGCCAACTGAAGTAAGCGATTGCCAACGACATTGAAAAACCCTGAATCGTCGGGCAAGGCTTTCGCACGTAGCTGAAATAAACAGGATAGCTCCTAAAGTATGTTGTCCTCTGAATGATTAAATAGTACAAGCTCAAGAGCGAGAGAGAGAGAGAGAAAGCGAGCAAGTTCCGGAAAAGCTGAGTAGTCGAAGATGCAGATACCGTACAACTCGCTTATTAGAACATTACGCAACACTCAGATGTGTAGGTGTTGGCAACAAAAATACATGCAACTGCCAAGCTCGCACCGTTTCTGGTGAACTGGATTTTCTCATTAGAAAATCATATAAATGCTAAACGATATTTTTTAAAGTGCAACCGCACTTTTGATAATTCAAATCGGAGTGTGTTCGTCTAGACTTTTCAACTGAGTACGCCGACTGAAATGTAGACACCGCTGCATGTTGAGCTTTTGGAATAAAGCTGCGACGACAATAAGGCAGTGAAGCATTCATATCAACCTTGATGACGGTCATTAAACATTCTTATGGGCCAAAGACCGCAAGCGCTTTGGCAGCGGAACTTGTGGAAAGGTTGTTAACGAAACTAAGAATCCATTGACAAATATAAAACATTCATCAGAAATTCTAAATACTTCTAGTTAACCAGGTTTTCGACCATACACCGAAGTCTCTCATCCTTATGCGCGAGTGACTGGTGAGCATATACGCTGATAAAAAGACACTCGAGTCCAATGTCCGTACTAGTGAGGCCGGTGACCACATAGTTTTGGGGTTGACACAGAGACCTTTGTATATGGACATCGACCGATCGAATCTTGTTACACTGACCCGATGGACCTCGAGCGCAGTTGATTGATCCTCCAAGAAGGACCACGCCAGTTTTCCAACTATCGATCGTAATATTCCAAGCCCATGGCTTGCCGAGCATCAGGTTCCCTAATAAGATCGTGAAAACTTAAGTGAAATCATCCAACAATGGTCAGAATCCGAAGCAATTTCGACACATGCGTCCAATCGAACAAAACGTGAGGCACTTCTGCTCGAAACACGAGTGCATTCCGCATATTTCACATCGGATCGTATTCACTTCAAATTTCTGAGGTGCAACAATATCAGTATTTGTGACAGGGTTCGTTGCCGTCCAATTTGCTCATCGGTGCAGGACCAGTTTCAGTGCTAGCGTTTTGGTCTAAGATGAGTTTAATTTGGAACACTGCGTAAGACTGCACACAGAAAGTGAGAACCGGACGATAAAGATGACAAGATGTCCAAAGATATGTGCTGGAATTGCTAGCCTATCAGAATGCAGAATTTACATAAAAGTATGTGTAAATGAATGACCGAAGCGACAGATAAATAAAAAATGGACGAACGATAAATTGGCGGAGTTTCTGCTTATTTGGAATGCAGAGGAACAAGCATGTTAAGTCCCGTTTTACATCGAACGGAACCTTCTGTTCACTAATTTGAGGTTTTCTCAGTCTCACTGATCGTAATCTTCCCGATTCTCCAGTCAATTTCCTCATTATTACCGTTTTTACAATCAGAACATGAACCAGAAAACATCCACTATAAGACTCCACATTGACCACGTCTTGCTCTCATAATTCCTCAATTACAACGTTCCCGAATTGGGAGGTCTCGCCACTTTGTGTAAGGTATCCTGATCCGATAGGTATCATAGTGTTCCCAAAAATTGGATGGGTGACATGATGACACAATTCAGCCACAGGTTGGATGTCCCTAGGAATGAGAAACGAAGTCAACGGACGTATCTACAGGGATCACAAACATTGGCTTATTAGATAGAATGGAATCAGAATGGCCGACGGTGGTGCAAGGAAAAGAAAGAGGTTCCAAGACTTCACGTACCGGGAGCTATTTGACAACACCACGGTCTAGTTAAATGTGTAAAATAAGCCCAGGTGGCGTGGAATAAACTAATAGAAACGAATCATCATCCGGTCCTTGAGAAGTCTTAGGGTTGATCAACATTTCTGCACCAAGGATTAATTGCCCACAGCTACTAGTTGAGGGTAATCTCCTCACCTCGGGAAATGTTGCGAGCCTGAACAGAAAGTGAATGACGGACGAGATACATCGGGAAAAATGAACAGGTAACGTGCACTCATACTTACCTCAGCTAGCTCCCGTAATTCACCATGAATAGGGTTAAACTGGAAGGCCGGTGTAAACTGCCGCCGGTGGGTTAAGTATTCTTTCAGTTTCGCAGCGTATCTAGATAAAGAGCGGTGTGCAAAGTATCTAGTGAGAAGCGATGTGGAACAACTTTTAACCAATAGTAGATAATCAAGTAGTAGGTAACTGAACTGAACACGACAGAAGACCATACATGAGTGGACAAGGTATCAAAAAGCAACAAAACAAAAAGAACAAGGATCGGACAACTGACTCATGGCATTAAATCGCGGGTAGGTTGAAACCGTAACGGTTGTCATTCTGTAACGACAGTATTACTTATGAAAGACTGGTTTCGGGTTGGTTGTTCGGAGCTACATCCAATTACAAGTCCTTCAAGAAAGGGCGTCGATATAAAAAATAGGAACATTATAAAATTTTACCGGCCCTGTGTGTTCGAAATTGAGAAGCGGTTAGCTGTGAGTTGAGCTGAGTTGAGTGAGTGAGTGTGAGTGAATGAGTGAGTGAGTGAGCGTGAATAATAGGGAAAATAGGGTGGTGATCCCAACTCAAACATAGACCAATCCCACAAAGGCACCAGGTCGATTAATAAGAAGGTTCAGGTGTTATTGGTGCCCAAATCTACGCTTATAGCACATGTCAAGTGTATGCAACATCAATTCAGGGTTAGCATAGGAATAACCTTGGCTGCATCGACCAAACTGACTTAGCACCGTGACAGCACGTCCATTTATGGTTTCTGGGCCGTTGATAAACAGGATGAAACGCCGTAAAACTTGGCAAGCTGGCTGAGTTTCACTCTTAATTCCATACCGCTTTTGCTCCAGGTGTGCAGTTCACATAAGGTAGAGACTGTATTCAAAGTTTCCTCATACTCATTATCTAGCATTTAGACTATCTTTCATTACTGGTGTATGGAACTCGGTAGGCGTTTGGTACTGGTATGATCATCGAAGTCGGAAAAAAATCGTTCATCTGTAGCACCCTTTCCGGTGCCTAACTGCCATACCACCCGAAGTTGCACGAGGATGATCATCGAAGTCGGAAAAAAATCGTTCATCTGTAGCACCCTTTCCGGTGCCTAACTGCCATACCACCCGAAGGTTGCACGAGGGCTGGAATACCGCCAGGTTGCCCAAGCCTAGACAGGGGAATCGAGAGGCAGACGTCGGGTTCGGACCACGGACCTTCCGGTCAGTAAATTCGCGCTCTAACCACTTGGGCCATCTCGCCCCCCATCGAAACCGGAACTGAGTTGAACTGGAAGACAGTGGGAGGATAATTCGCAGGCGCCTGGAGCAAATAGTAGGATGGGATGCCCAATCAACTTGTTAGCCGAATGTGTTGGAGAAGCCTAGGAAGTCCGAGGTGTTTCTGGAGGCAATCTACATAAATCAGGAGTACGATATTGAGTGAATACGAAATATACCCATATCATCGGTGAACGAAACTGTGGCAACTATAACCACTGTACGACAAGTACGCGGTTCTTACAGCTGACAGTGATGATAATGACGGAAATGTTGACGGAAGTGTAGCTGAATCAATAGATTTGGGAATCGAGCACGGAACATTATTGAAACACAGTAACCTTACTGAAAAGGATTCCCTCTTGGGACAGAGACATCAACGTCGCTCTCTACCGGACACGATTCAGCGTAGAATGCTCGCTAGAGAGACCACTTTTTCCCATTTTCCCGGGTGGTCAGTGCTTGAAAGTCCAAGTTACGGTCGGATGGGTAGAAGCACACTACTTGTACGTGCAACAATAGAAGGAATACACCATGCATTAAATAGAATTAGAAGAGAAGGGACTTACTGTTCGTAGTCTGCTAACCGTTGGCAAGCATAAGTGGCAGCAACTGAATCCCTTGGGACACCATGAAGCCAAATAGATTCTGAACCACTCGCAGGGGCATCGCTTGTTGCGTTTAAGCCAGCCAGTTCAACTAGGGGTCTCCACTTTTGTTCCAACCATGCTGACACTTTAGTCAACTCCGAAAACCAATGCGCACAGTCCGGATAGTTATCTGTCAGGTACTATCAAGGGCAAAGAGGAAGGACCAGAATCAACGTAAGCGCAGGAATGTGGAGTTTAGGATATGAAGCAGGAAATCTGGGAAGTTTCAAAAGATTGTTGGATCTTACCCAGCATAATAGAGCGAAGCGAATAAAATTTTACAGTAAATCTCTGGTCCTTCGCCTAAGAGAAGAAATGAAAACATTTCCGACTGCACTCGGAAAGCGATAGGACAGGTTAATGATACTATTCATAGTGGTAATAACAATCATTAACAATGAGAAAAAACATAAGCCAACACAAGACATAAGGCATGATAACGTTTTCGTGTCGAAAGCGAAACGTTGACCGGTTACAAACTACCGATTTTTCACCAAGCACTTCTGAAACGATGACTTCTCAATCGCTTCCACAATTTTTCCACACGATTGAAAACAACTACGGACCATGTGTTGGTAAATTGTCAAGTGACTATGCTCGATTGGCTAGGTTACAGGCAAACTGGGAGAACCAACCGATATTCAGTAAAAGTTGCTTGAAGCACAATTTAACCCCCACATCTTTGCTGGTTAAGCTACAAGAAACGTCCCTCGTTTCTTCCTGAATAGCATTCTCAGCAGCCAAGTCATTCCTCAAACGAAGGGTCTACTTGACTACTCGGCGTTTATCTGACATTCGTCACCACGCTTGTCAGCTCAACAAAGATCTTCAAACCGTGTTGGATCCCGCAGACTTCCAGTTATTCAAAACCAAAGCGACAGAAATGAAAGCCATCCAAGGACAACACCGCAAAGAGGGACAAATACCTAAGTTCGAAAGGTTATCTTCCAAAACAGATTGATGATGAGTCCAAAAAGAAGCACAAGCGTGGTAAATCTATAAAATCGACCGCTAAGTGAGGAACAGCGTTGTCTGATAGAAAAGGGCCTGAATTTCGCGGTAAGCGATAAGGGTGGAAGAAATAATCCCTAGCGTTGAATCAGTGTTTCAAAAACTTCCGCCAATGGAAGTGGACAAGCTATGGGTACAACCGGTCACAGTCCTTAAGTCCCAGGAGCCAGGAGCTCCAAATATTAGACCAGCGGAGCGGAGATCGTTAAAAACTCTAAAACAGGTGCACAACAAAGTGATTACAAAGGCGGATAAGAGTAAGGCCACTGCTGTCATGAATGGGGGTGATCATCCATAGGTCAAGCAACACCTATCTGAGGGCCCTTACCAGCAGATCGATAGTGAGAATATTATGTCAATGATGAATAGGAATACAGTTGAAGTTGACAGATGTTTGCAGTTCTTGATAAACCACTTGCGGCAAGGTGATTGGTGTCGCTTGTACACCAAAAGTGCAATCCAACCACGGCTTTACGGCATACCAAAAATGCATGAACCAGATATCTCCGTGAGACCGATAATAGAGGGAAAAGTTTCCCGACCTTATGAGCTGACCAGATTCTTGACAGGTATTCTTGAACCAGTTACCGGAAAATCTAGTACTTACATTAGGAATTCATATGACTTTGCCAACAGAGTAGCGGGTGTCACCGTGGAACCAGATGACATTCTTGCAAGTTGCGATATCAATTCGTTACACACTAATATGCCAAAAGGGGACTCTTTGTACAGTCAAGCGACTGCTACTATCAGAACAGACACAGCTTACGGCAGACAGAATAGTGGAAGGTGTAAAAGCATGCCTGAATCTCATCAACTTCGTTTTTTGGCTCCGTAGTTGGTACTCAAGAACAAGGTCTAGCGACGGGATCTCTAATATCCCCGGTTTTAATAAATAATTCTACGGAAGATTTCGAACAGAAAGCTTTTGCCGGATTCCCGTACCCATCGAAGATATTCCGGCGTTATGTAGAAAACACTTTCGTCGTGATGAAATGATACAAAGTCAGTGGGTTTTACAACTAATTGGATGACCCGAATCCACACAACAAACTCCTGGTACGCTGCCTTTCTTTGACTGTATGGTATATAACGTCGAGGAAAAGAACCCAAATGACACTGGGACGATTATGAACTACTGTTCTACCCATCCGAAGTCGGCGTTCGCTAGTATTGCCTCATCAATGTTTAGCCGAGTGGGTGACCCTTGCAAAGAAGAAGTCGATCGGACAGCGGCTCAAATGGAGGTAAAAGGCAAACTTCAGGGTAGTGGATGTCCAGCTAGTTTGATAAGGCATCAGTTACGAAGAGCATTGCTACCAGCGGCGAAACCCAACAGGTAATGGGTTGTGACTGCTGTTGCTCCATATAAACCAGGGACATCGGGTCATTCGAAGGATTCTAAACACGCGTAAGATAAGAGTAGCTTTACAGAAGGGACACACTGCGCTCTGCACTGGTGCAATTCAAGAATCGCCTCCCGGCAAACAGAATCAGGGACTGCAACGACTGCACTAAGGTCTATATGGGAAAGATGGTCAGGGAACTTCACACCAGAATCGGAAAGCACAGGATAAAAATAAACAGACCATCGAGAAACACAGACGAATATCGAGCATTACTGAAAGACTTGGAAATTGTGGAATAGGAACTGGATACGGGGCACAAAATGGAGTTAGAAAATGTTGAACGTTTGAGACAGAGACTACGGTTCACGCCACAGGGACTGATTCCCGGGACACTGGAAATCGCTAAGCATCCCTGCAAATAGGATAGAAGGCGTAAATCATAATCAAATCAATCGTTCAGCTGTAACACCCTTTCGGTGCCTAGCTGCCATGCTACCCGAAGGAAACACGAGGGCTGGGATACTGCCAGGTTGCCCAAGCCTAGATAGGGGAGGTCGATAGGCAGAGGTCGGGTTCGAACCACGGACCTTCCGATCAGTAAATTCGCGCTCTAACCACTTGAGCCATCTGGCAAGCGTGTGGAGAACTGCGTTAGACCAGTCGAGTTGATAAGTGGTGGTGTACAGTTATCAGAAAGAGGAGTTATCATCACAAGTAGGTTAGGTTTGAAGGATGTAAACCAAACCAACTAAAATGTCCACTCAATCTCACCCCCACTAACTAAATTGCAGTAGCACATACAAGCCCACACCGACCAACAAAATCCACCAGTGGCACCCGAGGTGAATTATCTATTGAAGCAACTTGAACCGGAAGGTTAAGGAACCAAACCGGTTCAAAAATAATTTGAAAATCCCTCAACCCATCAACCGTAAGATGTAGGCAACCACACTAACCGACAAGATGAAGCATTTGTGTCAAGAGCGAGACGTTGCCCATTTGAAAGCTACCGATCGTTCACCATGCGCTCATGAACTAGTCAAAAAGTAGGGACCTGTTCAGAAAAGAACCGCCATCCGAAGTATGCCGAATCTAGCTGGTAGTGTTTTAGTCACCAACGTTCGAGAAGATAAAGATACGTGGACAGCGTATACAAAGTCAGTACAGACACTGCTAGTGACGGAATGTCGGGTTGAAAATGTGAACGTTCACTTTTGCTTGGAATACACTGAAAGCATTGGCTCTAACCCAGGAGAATCATTGACTGTGAGAGCAGATTGCACGTATCCGTTATTCTGACAAACGGCACGTGGCAATCCGAAGTATCCAACCAGAGACCCACGTTTTCAAAGGGACGAAGACGACTGTTTAATTTTACCAGATCATAGCCTGACTGTCTACGGGTCGCTTCTATCCAGTAGAATTGAGCTCGGCGGGACGAAATTTGATCCGCCATGTAAAATGTACGGCCTAACCATCGTAACTTATGGGGTGTGACTAGCTCTCGAAGACAAAAATCGATCTGCATGGAGCCAAACATTAGGTCCATGTGACCAATGAGATACTTGTAGAGTACCGAGAACATATGATTAAGCGTGACTTAAATGATGGATGTCGGAAATACCATTTTATGGGCTGGTGGTTCTCAACTGGCAGGTGACTCCGTCCTGGAGAGAACCCAAGCCCAAGCTTTTACAATGCTGTTTTTGTGTTCGTTTTACCGTTTTTGTAGCTTACGACATCAATGTTACTCAACTTGCAACAAAAACTTGAGCTAGGGTCAATAATAGTTTTATACCGAAATTTAGGCTTTGAGACAGACAACATACCATAGGGAGACCCATATTTTCAAAGTGGGGGCGCGAATTTACTGACCGGAAGGTCCGTGGTTCGAACCCGACCTCTGCCTATCGACTTCCCCTGTCTAGGCTTGAGCAACCTCGCAGTATCCCAGCCCTCGTGCAACCTTCGTGCGGCATGGCAGTTAGCACCGAAAAGGCGCTATAGCTGAACGATTTCGCTCTTGAAGGTTTGGTGGTTGCAAAACACCCTCCCGGGTTATCTCAACTCAGTAGTTTCAAACAGACAGAATAGGCTGGTTTAGCAGATCCCGATAGCGCTTACTGATATATTAGCCGTAAAGATTATATTTTGTGGTTCTTTTTGAATTCCTTTGTATGAAGCTAACCATTCAACACCTGGAGACTACCTGGTGTCGGTTGAAAGGAATCGGCGGTACACGTTTTACAAATATTGACAGAGATTGACTGGCAGTGTGGTTCATCTGCGCCGCTAATCCTCGACCGCCAATCCTTCAACGTCGTAGCATTGACCAGCTCCTCAAATAAAACTCACCTTATAAGGCCAAGCACGTCAAACATTAACAACAAAAGATTCATTACTAAACTGGACCATTGAAATGAGAAAAAAATCAATCGTGAAACCGGCATTAGCACAGATCTGTCAAGCCCATTCACTACAATCGACATTACCTTTGAACGGACCTTACACCATATAAAATAAACCTGACGATACATGGAATAATGATGCACGGCACCTTCGTTTTACACCTGTTGCCGGCCTGTCATTTTTCTCGCTGCAAAATTACACCACGTACATACGAAAAGTCCACCCGCTATAGAACTGTTTGTAGGTCGCTCAGAAAGAAGGACAAGGTACCTACACTGTCGACTCGAAGCATCTCTGAGCAGTTAACACATACAAAAACGCAAACCTGTTGGATTCCTTTGGGATTGGTGGTTCGGGGCCACACAAGTAATGGCAACCCGTGCGACCGAAACTTGGATGCCTCCTCCGCCAAATTGAGAGGGAACGGTGGGAACGCGCTCTCTTCAATTTGGGAGAAAGGAAAACTATCCATATTTTTCGTATGGGACGTGTATTGTTGTTGTAAGTGCAAGTGCAGACGGCTTTGCCCGGATGAAACTAGCAGGTCCCCAATCTCGGGAGTTTGAATAAGCATTCGGACCGATGGAGATTTGAAAACAAAGGCTAGGTAGGATGCCGCTTGCCTCCGACGACAGTCAGTGAGATAAAGCTTTTGGGTTCCTGTGGTGAGGGGAATCAAACATGAGAGAATAAAGTGTGGAGCTACCAAACAAAACAAAGATAACAAGAAGGCTAAGACACCTTCAAGATTGTGAGTGATGACTGCGTTAGCTTAAACGGATCAAAACTAAGGTTTGAAATATTCACAAAGTATACTCATTTCCTCGGGCAGGGTGTTACAAAACGCTGAACAGATGAGTGATGTCGAATCTGGCGCGAGAAGAATATAACTGTCAGAAACACACCTAACACTCGTCTTCTTTCGAAATACCAGAAAAACCCAGACAACGGGGAAAGTGTAGCTACCCTTTCGCCACATACATGACTGTACAGGTCACCGCCACACGCTAGATCACGAGATCTATCTTTTTCCCTTGCACTCACAAATGAAGCCACAGAACCGTGACTCACTTGACTACACAGCTCACAATCAAGCCCTAGATCCCAAGACCTCGTTTTTTTTTCCCTACACGTACAAACCACGATACACAAGGGTGACTCATCCG